AGAGGGCCGGGCATGGTGGCTCATGCCTGTAATCCCAGCACTTTGGGAGGCCGAGGTGGGCGGATCACAAGGTCAGGAGTTCAAGACCAGCCTGGCTAACATGGTGAAACCCCATCTCTACCAAAAATACAAAAATTAGTCGGGCATGGTAGTGTGCACCTGTAATCCCAGCTACTCAGGAGGCTGAGGCAGGAGAATCGCTTGAACCTGGGAGGTGGAGGTTGCAGTGAGCTGAGATCATGCCATTGCACTCCAGCCTGGGTGACAGAGTGAGACTCTGCCTAAAAAAAAAAAAAAAGACCAGATCAGTGCCAATGCTGTGTGGAGCCATTATGGGAAGCTTCAGGCAAAAGAAAAATCAGTAACATGAATCTCATCTTCGTTTAAAATTTTGATATTTTGTTCATCATGGATTTTTGGCAATAATTTTTACTTTACAATGATTGCATCATTGGAGGTGGTGGTTTTGGGCACTTCTTTAAATATGATGCCTAGAGCAAGTGCCTTGCTCCCCTCACCCTAGTCTCAGCTCTGGATTGGGCAAAATCACCCTTCCTCGAAGGATTATCACGAAGCATCAGTGAGAGCCTATGGGAGCTGAGTGCTGTCATTTTGAGATACTTATTCCACTGTAGACAATTTCCTTGTATCCATTGACTTGCATTCATATGCTAAGTTGGTTTCCCATATTGCCTGCTCTCCAGGGAAACTCAGAACAAAGAATCAAATCCTTGGCTTTGAGTTGCAAAAGAAGCTTTGAAATCCAGAGCTGAGACTATACCCTTACAAGAGCCGGTTTTGAAAGAGAAATCTTTTGTGTAGGTCCAAAAAAACTTGGCTTTGAACTTTGACAGCAAAGAGCTGATGCCATAAGCCCTGGAGAGGGGAAGGATGCGTCATCCCAGAAGATATCACCCCAAAGGAGATTAAGGTTCCACCGGCAGGTGGGAGAGAAGGGGCAAGCAGCGCCCAGAAACACACATGCCGGCCCGAAAACCAGTCGTCAGCCCCATCTGGGCAGAGCCTGGGAGTGGCATGAGAAAAACTATATACCCCCAGGTATACTGGGGGCCACCAGGGCAAATGGGACCCACCTGCACTTCCCTTACCAGCTGTGGCCTGAGGATGTAACAGGCCTCCCACAAGTCACTCTATCTGTATGGAGAGGCCTCAGTAGAGTAGACATAGAGGTGAACTCACAAGGGCGGGCATCCAGAAGTTTCCATGACTGCAAGGCAGACATGGGTGTCCTGAGAGATTAGACTTGGGGAGTCCACGTCTTTGCCAAATCCAGTTACTGATAGACCAAGATACACTTTTTTTTTGGTCACCTAGGCTACAGTGCAATGGCGCAGTCTCGGCTTACTGCAACCTCTGCCTCCGGGCTTCAAGGATTCTTCTGCCTCAGCCTCCCAGGTAGCTGGGATTACGGGTGTGCGTCACTATGTCCGGCTAATTTTTGTGTTTTTAGTAAATACCAGGTTTTGCCACGTTGGCCAGGTTTGTCTCAAACTTCTGACATCAGGTGATCCACCCGCCTCGGCCATCTGAAGTGCTGGGATTACAGGCGTGAGCCACCGTGCCCGGCCCCAAGATACACTTTTGAGGTCTTGAGTATGGCTTATGAAGTCCATACTCACAATACTTGCTCTGTCTGGCTATACAAGTCATGCCATGTACAATGGAGCCATATCTAACGGTTCCTTTTGACAGCAGGATCCTACACTGGAGGTAAGTATCTCGAGGAACAGCACCTTTGATCCATGTCCCATAAAGGGTCTTCACAGGCCAACAGCAAACTCCCTAGGTGTGTAAAAGCACCCAGAGCACCCCGCTCACAGAAGACACCCCACAAATGCCCTTATTAGTGATGGTAACCCGCGTGGGACGGACATTTGAATTCTTTGGGCCTCCCAGCATCTGAAGTCCCTGGCTATGTTGGAGAATCCACCTGCCTTGCAAAACAGAACCCAATCTCCTCCCAAGGCAGCTGAAAATGCTGGGAGCTCACTTTCCCAGCATCCCTTGCAAGCAGGGTGGAAGCCTGTGACCCGGAAGTCGCCCCCAGATACACCCACGTCAGATTCTGAACGAGAAATGAGAACTGCTGAGCAAAAAAACCACTCAGATCCCTCCTGAGGGCGGTGTGAGGAGCGGCAGCAGGGGCTGTCTCTGAGGAGCAGTGGTGGGGAGGCCTGGGGTCTTTGTGGTCGCAGGACTATGGGGCGATTTTCTCTGTGCTTCCTGGCTGAGTGGGCTCTAAGGTTTTTTTTTCTTTTTTTGAGACGGAGTTTTGCTCTTGTTGCCCAGGCTGGAGTGCAATGGTGCCATCTCGGCTCACCTCAACCTCCACCTGCTGGGTTCAAGTGATTCTCCTGCCTCAGCCTCCCGAGTAGCTGGGATTACAGGCGCCCGCTACCACGGACCTGGGTAATTTTTGTATTTTTAGTAGAGACGGTTTCTCCATGTTGGTCAGGCTGGTCTCAAACTCCTGACCTCAAGTGATTCACCCACCTCAGCCTCCTAAAGTGCTGGGATTACAGGTGTGAGTCACCACGACCGGCCGGGTTCTAAGTTTTATTCTCAGGTCCACCTGAAGATTCTGCGAGTGCCCAAGACCTTTTAAGAAATTCCTTTTCTAGGCCGGGCGCAGTGGCTCACGCCTGTAATCCCAGCACTTTGGGAGGCCGAGACGGGCGGATCACGAGGTCAGGAGATCAGACCATCCTGGCGAACACGGTGAAACCCCGTCTCTACTAAAAATACAAAAAACTAGCCGGGCGAGGTGGCGGGCGCCTGTAGTCCCAGCTACCCGGGAGGCTGAGGCAGGAGAATGGTGTGAACCCGGGATGCGGAGCTTGCAGTGAGCGGAGATCTTGTCACCGCATTCCAGCCTGGGCCACAGAGCGGGACTCCGTCTCAAAAAAAAAAAAAAAAAAAAGAAATTCCTTTTCTGCTTAAATTAGCCAGCTGTGGTTTTTGTTGCTTGTGATGAACTCTGATAGCCTCCACCGTCAGACCTCATCAGCCTGTGACCACTCAGGGAATTGCGTGATCATTCTCCCTCCCCCTACCCCCGCTTCCACTGTCCTCCCAGGCACCCCACACTGTCAAATGCTGTTCTGTGCTCAGGAGAAGCTTTGCCCGTGTTCTTCAACGCCAGCCACCCGCCCCCAGTGCGAGAGCCCACCAGGAGAGCATGGCTCTGCGCCAAGGCCGTCTGGCCATAGGGACCACACCTTGTCATCAGCCCCCATACGAGGCTCCTTGGCCCAGGGGCTCATATAGCCTTTTCTGAGCACAGCGCCTTCAGCTTCTCACCCAAGCTTAGGCCCGGTGAGCGACACACATACCTTCCTGCCCTGGCCCTTTAACTGGGGACTCTAAAGACACACACACACACTTGGCCGGGTGTGGTGGCTCATGCCTGTAATCCCAGCACTTTGGGAGCCCGAGGCGGGCAGATCATGAGGTCAGGAGTTCGAGACCATCCTGGCTAACACGGTGAAACCCTGTCCCTACTAAAAATGCAAAAAATTAGCCAGGTGTGGTGGTGGGCGCCTGTAGTCCCAGCTACTTGGGAGGCTGAGGCAGGAGAATGGCGTGAACCCGGGAGGCGGAGCTTGCAGTGAGCCAAGATCACGCCACTGCACTCCAGCCGGGATGACAGAGCAAAAAAAAAAAAAAAAAAAGACACACACACTCACACGCTCGCCCACTCTCACACTCTCACACTCATGCACTCACATATACTCACACAAACGCATTCTCTCACACACATACACTCATACACTCACACACCCACATACGTACACACATACACTCACACATATACACACACACTCTCACACATACACTTATATTCACACAAATACACACTCTCATACTCACACTCTAACACACACATACCCATGCCCACAGACACACACATACACACATATACACTCTCACACACTCATACACTCTCATGCACTCATACACTCATACCCACATACTCTAACACACACCCACACATCTACACTTACACTCACATACACACACATACATTCGCACACACTGATATATACCCACACTAACACCCACACATGCAGACACACACATGCAAATACAATCATCTTCACACACATACACTCATACACTCCCACATACACACACTCACATATATACACACACACTCATACATACACACATTCATACACACTCATACGCACACTGTAACACACTCATACCCACACACTCATACATACACACACTCATATACGCACACTGTAACACATTCACACCCACACACACACTCATATATACACATACACTCACACTCCCACACACTCACACTTATACACTCACATACACTCTCACACTCATACACACATATACTCACACTCTAACACCCGTATACGCACACTCACAGACGCACAAAATACACACACACACTCATACACTCATATCCCACACACTAACATACCCACACATGTACACTTACACACATAGACACATGCATACACACATTCATATACCAACACACTAACAGACCCCCACACACAGACACAAATACAGTCTTCACACACTTTCACATATACTCCAACACACACCCACACATACACATACACAGTTACACACCACACTTACATATACACTCTTATACTTACAACTCTCACACTCACATTCACACACACTCATATACTCACACTCAGGCGATACAGTCCCAAACTCACACTCATGCACTTACACTAATGCTCGCACACACATGCTCTCACACACTCATATTCACACACTCTAGCACGCACTCACACTCTCACACAAGTGCACTCACCTCTTTAGCAAAAGAAATCAAAGCCCCTACCTATCACTGCCTGGCTCTCCCAGGAAGTTCCCAGGCCCCATTCCTGCCCATCCGAGACCCCGGGGAAGTGATGGGATGGGGAGAGGCTTGGATTCCGAAGGGAGTGCAAGCGGGCTCACCGGGCCGGCGCCGCATGGCTTTGGGCAGGTTGCCTCACCTCTGGTCAGGTTGACCTGCCCATCACAATGGTCCTGAGCAGAGCCCGTCTGCAGCAGCGTGGGGAGAAAGCGAGGGGTGGTGGGACGTCCCATAGGCCCTGCCAGACCCCTCTGACTCTTCAACAGGGGCCCTCAGTGGGGCCGACTGGGTCTGATTCATCCTCTGCCCTTGCATACTTGCTTGTTCAGTGAACAGTTCCTCGGGAATGGGTGGCCCTCCAGATGGTCAGAGAGGAGCCTAGGGAACCGATTCAGAGCCTCACGCACTCCATCTGTCTGGGTGTACCATACCCCCCGTCCTCAACCTCCCCACGCAGGGCCTCCCACCACCCCCAGGCCTCCAGTTCCCAAAGACAGATGCCTCTAACCGCCCCCACCCCCAGGAGCCCTGTGTTCCCAGCTGGACAGCTGTCAAGCCCACGAGCCGGTGTTGCTGCCTGCCACCACGTGACCCAGGCCAGATGGCACCTGTCAACATCAGCCGCCACCAGGCCATGACGAACAAACAGCGGCCTCACACGCGTCACAAGCCGTGCCTGATCTCACAGCACCCAGCACCCGCCCCACCTGCTGTCCCATCAGCCCTCTGGGCAACACACCCCCACACGAAAGCCGTCAGCGCCGCACCCACCTGCGTCCCCAAACTTTCCCCTGCGGGAGGCCCCTCTGTGTTCTTGCTGGAAAGGTGAAGGCCCACGAATATTCTCAGCACCCGCAGGCTGTGGGGGCTTAATGAAGGTTAATCATCATCCCGTACACCTCAGCAGGTTTTTAAAAATAGCCACTGGGGAGTGTGCAGGAAGCTTCCGGCAGCAGCAGCGTTGTCACCCGCTGGAAGGACTGACTCTGTGAACACCCGAAGTCTGGTTACCAGGTGAAGGGAGAAGCAGGCAGCTGCCAGGAGGGCCTGGCAGAAGTGGGCCTTAGGGACGAGGCGGTTAAGTGGGGGCAACCCCCTGGAAGGTCAGCCAAGGTCTTGGCTGTGCAGGTGATCACCCACCCTTGATAGAGAGGAGGCCTGCTCTCAGGGAAGGGCTTGTTTGGTTTGGTTTTGTTGAGACAGGGTCTTACTAGGTCACCCAGGCTAGAGTGCAGTGGTGTGAACATGGCTCACTCCAGCTTCAACTTGCTGGTCTCAAGTTCTCTTTCCACTTCAGCCTCCCGAGTAGCTGGGACTACAGGCACGTGTCACCAAGCCCAGCTAATTCTTTAATTTTTTGTAAAGATGGTCTCACTTTGTTTCCCAGGCTAGTCTCGAACTTCTGAGCTCAAGTGATCTGCCAGCCTCAGCCTCCCAAAGTGCTGGGATTATAGGCATGAGCCACCTCTCTTGGCCTCAGGCAAGGGTTTTGAGGGGGCCCACCCAGGGCCACACAGGAGACAGAGGCCAGATTCTGTGACAATCTGCATTGTGGCTTTTTTGGGGGGATGGGGGGGTGGTGGGCGAAGTTTCACTCTGTCGCCCAGGCTGGAGTGCAGTCGCACGATCTCTGCTCACTGCAACCTCTGCCTCCTGGGTTCAAGCAATTCTCTGCCTCAGCCTCCTGAGTAGCTGGGACTACAGGCGCCCGCCACCACGCCTGGCTAATTTTTATATTTTTAGTAGAAACAGGGTTTCACCATGTTGACCAGGCTGGTCTTGAACTCCTGACCTCATGATCCACCTGCATCGGCCTCCCAAAGTGCTGAGATTACAGTCATGAGCCACCACGTCCGGCCTGCAGTGTGGCCTTGACCAAGTCTCCACCTCTGTCTTGGCCTCTGTTTCCTCTGCTCCAGCATCAGGGCAGCTTCTATTTGTGTGCACTCAGTGCATGTTGGATTTTATCCAGAAGGCAGCTGCTGCTATTAGCTGAAGCTCAGAATGGTTAAGTGACAACTGGAGGTCACAGAAGGCTTAGGTGACTGACCGATGGCAGGCAGCTGCCTTGGGTTGTGGAGAGCTGGAATTTGAACCCAGGCAGTCGGATTCCAGGGCTCAGGCCTGTGACAGGTACAGTCTGCTGACTGCCTGGGCCTGGGAAAGAGCTCTGGGCTGATGCTCTCTGGAAGCAAGGGGATGAGGCCACTGAAAATGAAGCCGCGTGGTCAGCGCCCCTGGCCTGCTCCTCTGGGCCATCCCCTAGAGACTAACTGCCTTACATGTCTTGTAAACGCTCATGCTGAGAGGCCGGAACTCTCCCGCTGTCCCCTGACATCACAGAGCAGGAGAGGGAAGCCACACAGCAAGACGTCCCTTCAACAGGGACTGGCATCCTGAGGAGCCACCAGATAGAAAGTGTTCCCTCCTCCTGTCCTTGGGACACAGAGAATTTCCCAGCACTGACTCTACCCTGGTCTTGGTGCCTACCAGGGGCCAAGGCTGGAATGCAGAGGCCCTTAGGCCACTGCAGGAGAGCTTAATGAGGTTGGTCAGAGGCTGGGCTGTGTGCGAGGGGAGACCAAAGGGCACACTCAGAGAGGAAAGGTGCATCCTGGGGGCAAAGCCATGGCAGCTGGGCAGGTAGGGGGTAGCAACACGGGAGCCAACTGCATGGACTCAGGGAGGCTGGGCGACTGACATCCTGGTGTTAAGGTGGGTGATACCCAGAAGCCCACATCTGCCATATCCATTCATTCATTCATTCATGTGGTATTTACTGAGCACCTCCATATGTGCCAGACACTGTTCTGGGCTTTGGACTTTCAGTGTGAACAAGGCATATACGGTCCATGCCCTTGTTGAGGCTCATAACTGAGAAGGGCTCCTTAGCATGGCCTTCGAGCCTCCCCCAAATCTGACCAACCTGCCTTCTCCGATGCAGTGCCTCATGAATTGTCCCCCTGCCCTGGCCAAACTGCTGCCTGGTGCAGGACAACGGAGGTGGAGATGATGGAGAGAGGGTGTAAACAGGCGCCAATGTCCCTGGCACCATAACTCCTCCACCCCCCATTGAGCCAGATAGAGGAAGGATGGGCAGGAAACATGAGCTGTAAAAGGACACTTGGAGAAGAAATGAAGACACGAAATAGAGATGAGGTGCCGTGTGTGTGTGTGTGTGTGTGTGTCTGTCTGTCTGTCTGTGTGTCTGTTCTGTAAGTCTCTGTATATCCATCTGTTTTTGTGTCTATGTGTCCAGCACGGTGGCTCACGTCTTTAATCTCAGCACCTTAGGAAGCCAAGGTGGGAGGATCGCTTGAGCCGAGGAGTCTGAGACCAGCCTTGGCAACATAGCAAGACCCCCATCTCTACAACAAATACAAAAAGTTAGTTGGGTGTGATGGTGTGAGCCTGTAGTATCAGATACTCAGGAGGCTGAGATGAGAGGGTCACTTGAGCCCGGGAGGCTGAGGCTGCAGAGAGCCGTGGTTGCACCACCGCACTCCAGCCTGAGTGACAGAGGGACAGCCTGTCTCAAAAACAAACAACAACCCTGACACTTGGTAATTTCTAAGAAAAAAGGTTTAATTGGCTCACGGCTCTGCAGGCTGTATAGGAAGTACAGCACCAGTATCTGCTTCTGGGAAGGCCTCAGGAAGCTTCCACTCATGGTGGAAGGTGAAAGGGGAACAGGTGTTTCTTTTGTTTTTTTTTAGATGGAGTCTTACTCTATTGCTCAGGCTGGAGTGCAGGGGTGTGATCTCAGCTCACTGCAACCTCTGCCTCCCAGGTTCAAGCCATTCTTGTGCCTCAGCCTCCTGAGTAGCTGGGATTACAGGCATGCGCCACCACGCCCAGCTAATATTTTGTATTTTTCGTATTTGTATCTTTGGCCAGACTGATCTCAAATTCCTGACCTCGAGTGACACACCTGCCTCAGCCTCCCAAAGTGCTGGAATTACAAGCGTGAGCCACTGCGCCCAGCCGGGATCAGGCACTTCACACACAGGAGCAGGAGCCAGAGGTGGGGCGTGCCACACACTTTTTAACAACCAAGTCTCATGAGAATTCACTATAGTGAGGACAGCACCAAGCCATGAGGGATCCACTCCCGTGACCCCGTCACCTCCCACCAGGCCCCACCTCCAGCACTGAGGATTCCAGTGCAACATGCGATTTGGGTGGAGACAAATACTCAAACCACATCAGGCTGGCTGTGTGTGTGTCTGCGTGTCTAAGAGTCCTGGGTGTTTATGTGAAGATCTGGTGTTTGTGCACGTTTGTTTGTGTTTCCGTGTGTGTGGTTGTGTTAGTTTATGTGTACCTCCGTTGGCATTTATGTGCCTAGATGTGTGTGTGCATGCCTTCAGGGGTCTGTGTGCACTTGCGTGTTTGTATTTGCGTGTGCTTTTGTGTTGAGTGCGCGTGTGTGTGTCTTTGGGCAGGGAGAGGCTGGCTGATCCTGCACTCGCTCACTCTCCACCTTACTATGGCCATGGCTGGGGCCCAGCCCAGTCCCTTTGGTGACTCACTCCTATTGCTGGGGCATGGACTGGCAGGTCGCCACCCACAGTCTGGGCTGTCACTGGGTCCTGAGTCTGGCTCTGAGACTCTGTGTCTTCTGCTTCCCTCCTCCCATGCTGGGACCAGCTGGAGCCACCCACAGCCCACATGGAGCCCCAGCCAGGCTGTGGACAGCCCCCAGGCCTGCCGTTCAAGACTATGCTGGGTACGGCCAGGCTCTGGGGCCAGCAGCACTGCTCCACAGACCTCCACTAAGGAGCACAAGTGGAGGCAAGGGGTCGGAAGACACCCCCTCTGCATGCCCAGACGGGGATGCAAGGCACAGGGGACACCCCCAACCCAGCGCTGCTGCTGCCTTTCTGCCCTGTGTGACCCTGAGCAGCTCACACACCCTCTCTGGTCCACACTCCTCATTTATAAGGAGCTGGTGCTAGCAGGGCCACGGCATACAGTTGTAGTGTTGTGCACTGCACAAATGCACCTGGCTGAGGTGATAAAAGGTGCTGAGAGCTGGCCCAGATGCTGGCCCTCAGTCTTGCAGGCTGAGGGCCTATGTCAGGCTGCAACATCTGGAGGAAGAGATACCCTTCTCTTCTCGTGCAGGATGTTGGCTCATCAGGGCCTGCGCTCACCTGGGACACGTAAGGGGCAGCTTGTTCTCTTTCTCACAAACAGGCCGCCCTGCTCTGGTCACCTTGGCTGGGAGGGAGAGTGGCACCAGCCTTTGTGATCAGCCCCCCGCGCCGTGTCGGTGTCCAGGTGGCCATGCGTCCGAGACTCTCCTCTTTCTCCTTGCCCTGAGTCTGCTTCCCTCCCCTTCTCTGGCCCACCGGCCCCTCCCCCGGGGTTGTTCCACCCACACTTGACCAAGTACTTTCCCAAACAGCACGGGCCATAAAGGACCCTTTACAGGACAAGAAACTGAGTCGGGAGAATGAAGTGCCTATCCATCGTGTCATGGTTCTTCAGAGGTTCCAGCCGAGCCCTTCCGACTCCAAATCTGGCCCAGCTCCTCCACCCCTGCACCCACTGCCCCAGCTGACCCCTCCTTTTTCCAGCCACCCTGATAGTGATGTCACACTTCTCTGCTTCAATGCTGTTTATTTCATTAGGAAAGTAGCCGGGCGGGGGTGCCCCCCTGGGGGATCGAGTGGGGGTACAGACAATAGCCTGGCTCCTGTGCCCCAGGGTTGACAAACCTGTGGAGGAGAAGCAGAGGCGAAGCCTGAGCAAGGGGCTCTGGGGCGTTTCTGTGTGCTTGCCTGGCACAGAAGAGGTTCTAAGAGGCCCCCTGATCTCGCACCCCCGACTCGGAAGCGGGGATCCCCAGGCAGCACTGGCTTAACCCAGGGCTTGGGAGGCAGGGCTGGCCCACAATGGCTACCCACAGACCGGGAGCAGCTGAGTGTGGGAGTCCCCAGCCCCTTACCAAGGGCTCAGGGCTCAGCTGTGTGCCATGAAGCGGCTGCTGTGAGGTGCGTCCCGGTAGAAGGGGTCGGCTGAGGTCAGGGTTCTGCAGGGAGGCAAGAGGAGAGTGTTGGGGGCGTTGGCAGGCAGGGATGGACCTTGTCTTCTTGTCTTCTGCCTGACCCTCCCTGAGAGAGCACAGTCAGGGCTCAGCCAGGGCAGCCAAGCCACAAACATTCTTTGCCTGCCAACTCTGGGCATTTGTCGGTATAAATATAATTTCTGAGGAATTGAATTGAGCAGAAAGGAGCTGAGTGAGGCGGAACCACAGTCCATTCATCTCTGGATCCGTCCCCCCATCCCCCTCTGGATCCAAACCACCCCAGAGCCCCTCGCTCAGATCCTCCCCCTCCAGCCCACCTGGCCTGGGGTACCGGGGCAGGAGAAGGAGGAGGAGACATCTGAGGGAGGGGTCACTGGACGGAGAGGAGGGGAGGAGTCAGTGCTGGCAGGAGAAGGGACGCCAGAGCCAGCCAGAGGAGATGGGCCTCTCATAGGAATGAACCAGACTAACAGAGCAAGAGAGGAGAGGAAGGGAAAGACCTGGCGCAGGGCCTGGATGAGGGGTAGGGAGAAGGAACAGAGCTGGGGGGAGTGCCACCTTCCCACGTGGGGGTGCAGGTGCCGCAGGCTCTCCGTGGGGTTGGGGGCGGCCTCCATGCAGCTGACTGGCTGGCTGAGGGCGTAGCCTCCCGGTATCTGGGGCTGGATGCCACCTCGAGTCCAGCCTTCCCGGTCTAGACCTTTGGGGATGTTCTCGAAGTACCTGGAGGAGAGGAGGGGTCCTTGGCTGGAATCTGGCCTCTGCCCACCTCTGCAGCCCCTCCTGCCCCTCTCCATCGGCCCTCAGATCACCCAGCCTCCCCGCCTTTGCTCATGCTGTCCTCCTGTCTGACTCTCCCTAAGCCCACATCCCCTGGGGGAAGCGTTACTCGAAAAGCCTGCCCTGCCCTCTGCCTGACGCTGAAACACTCTTTGGAGTGTAAAAGGACAGTTTCAGTGACGCCCTTGTCCCTGGCCTGCCAGCACCTTGGGGTGGGGACCCCGTCTCATCCACTTCTCTAGGCACTTAACTTTCCTTCCATTTCATTTCCATTTCCTTCCATTTAACTGAGCACAGCCATGTCCGGAAGGTGCAAACACAAGTAAGATGGGGGTCCCACCCTTGAACTTATGAAGAGGGGATGCAGACAGATCAATGCAGAAATCGGTGATGACAACCCCGGGGCTCTGCGCGCACCAGAAAGCACCAGCAAGTGTGCCTGACAGCCAGAAGGAGCTCAGGACACGAGAGGACACGACAGGCTGGAAGGACCCAGCAGAGAGGGCTGGAGCTGGTCTCTGCCAGAGCCACAGGAGGAGATGTTTGCCTAAGAAGGGGTCAGAACATCGTTGCTCCTCACACCCAGACTGAGCCTCTGGCCCTCCCCCCACCTCCGTGGGAACTGGAGCAGCCACTGTGCAGCGAGTCAGCTGTGCGAGGCCCAAGCACTGCTCCTCCCCTCTGAGCCTCAGGGGTTAGGCCAGAGGACAACCAGCGGCCCTTCCAGCTCAGACTCTCTGTTGCTCCTCCAGGCCACTGCCCTCCCCTCTTTTCAGTCTCAGTTCAAACGTCACCTGCTCAAGGCCACCGATTTCAAATCTGACCCATGCCCACTGCAGCCTTCCCGATCCCTTTCTCCCTGCCCATCACCTAACAGCTCTCACTAACTGACCGCGGCCATATGCATGCCCCCTCCCGTGCTGAGGTCTGAGCTCCGTAGGGCAGGAGCTGCATACACATTCCCAGGGCCTGCAGCAGACCCTGGCACCCAGTCAGGGCTCAGTTAAAGTCTGTTCCATGAATGGATTCTGGGAGGTATCCTGGAGCAGGGGGAGCCTGAGGAGACAGGGAGGTTGCAGGGACACCTTGGAGGACCAGGAGTTGGAGAGGAAGCAGGGTGGACACAGACGACTAATATTGCTAGGAAAGCTTGCGCTTCCTGGCTCAGAGGAGTTTGTCCTAAAAATTGTACTTCCTGGAGCCGGGCAGATCACAAGGTGAGGAGATCGAGACCATCCTGGCTAACACAGTGAAACCCTGTCTCTACTAAAAATACAAAAAATTAGCCGGGCTTGGTGGCAGGCGCCTGTAGTCCCAGCTACTGGGGAGGCTGAGGCAGGAGAATGGTGTGAACTCCAGAGGCGGAGCTTGCAGTGAGCGGAGATCGTGCCACGGCACTCCAGCCTGGGCGACAGAGCGAGACTTTGTCTCAAAAAAAAAAAAAAAAAAGAATTATACTTCCTGGCAGGGCACGGTGGCTCACGCCTGTTATCTCAGCACTTTGGGGAGGCCGAGGCAGGCAGATCACTTGAGGTCAGGAGTTCAAGACTAGCCTGGCCAACACAGCAAAATCCCATCTCTACTCAAAATACAAAAATTAGCTGGGCATGGTGGCACATGCCTGTAATCCCAGCTACTCAGGAGGGTGAGACAGGAGAATCACTTGAAGCCACAAGGCGGAAGTTGCGGTGAGCTGAGATCATGCCATTGCACTCCAGCCTGGGCGACAGAGTGAAACGCCATCAAAAAAAAAAAAAAAGAAGAAGAAGAAGAATTACACTTCCTTTATTACCATTCCTATAATGCTCTCCCCACCCAGTCCTGGCCCCAGAAACCTTCCCCATGGCTCTGGGGCCACCTCCTCCTGGAAGCCCTCCCTGATGCCCAGGACAGTCACTCTTCATCCAGGGAATGCAAAGCACAGAATTTACATTCTGAGGGAGCTTCGAGCCCACCAACCATTGGCTGGATGGAGTGTCTTAGCAGATGTTGCTGCTCCAGACTCCCTCGATCTCCCCTGTTCTTTCCATGCCCACCAGCCTGGCCACCAATGCCCTGTACTGCATATCTGTGGGAAAGCTACCCTTGGGATGCTAGAACCTGCTTTGCCTGAGCAAGGAGGCACCTGGGATTTAATGTTGCCTGAGGATAACCTTTAACCAATGACTGATGGATGTGGGGGTATAAATACCCCAGCTTTCTCACCTTTGACTGGGGTAGTTCTGAGTTGTGTGCTTTACACTGTTTTCTAGAGTTTTCCCGGTGGAATAGCTGGCTTAGTAACATGCTCATTATTACTGCCTTCCCTCCCTCATCCCACTTCTTCACTCCTACACGCCTAATAACTGCCTAATAATGTGCTTGCACTCCAATCCTTGGCTTAGGGTCTGCTTCTGGGGAACCCACATTCACTCAGCGTTGATCTTCTCCACGAGGCTGTGAGCTCATTACTTATCCTCATTACTTAAAGAGTCTCAGTCTCTTTCTCAAATGGTTTCAGCTTTGGACCAGGAAGCGGACCTCACCCTTGGTTGTAGGTGGTCAGGTATCGCTGATCCCTGTCAGGATCACAGGGGCTCCGGACATACATAGGGTTGTTAAGGCTGAACCCTGTGGGCTCCTGCATAAGGGGGTAGACAGGAGAATTGTCAGATCAGAAGGGGTGGGGATTTGGGGGTGGAGGTTGGGTGTAGCAGGTCTCACCTTTTTCCCCACAGTCTCCCGGCCAAGCAGGGCAACATTTGTCTGTTGCATCCGATGAAGTGGCTGGAACTGCTGGTGGCTCACGCTGCTGGGTTCTGGGCAGGGAGGGGGCACCTGCAGGGGACAGAGCCACCAGAAGGGAGGCTGAGGTGGCCAGGCTGAGGCAGCAGGGATGGAGAGGGGGCAGGCAGAGGCACACATAGCTGCGACCTGTCCCCAGCCCCAGCGACCCTCCCTTCCCCTTCCAGTCAAGTCTATTTCAGACCACACCCCTCGTCTTCCAGCCCCCAGGAAGGCCCAGTCTCTCCTTGCCCTCCACCTGGGGCCCTACCTCCACATCCCCAAATATTCTAATTCTTCCCATTCCTCAATGCCTGACCCAAATGCCACCTCGTCCCAGAAACCTCCCTGTCTCCTCCCTCCTCTGAGCGAGGAGCCAAGGCCACTCACTCTGGGGTTCAGAATCCTTTCATTCCCTCGGCTGAAGGCTGTTTCCCGCTTGGAGCCTCTGGCCAACACAGGTAGGGACTCATCTCCCTGGAGGGAGCAAAGCAGCCACTGGCACCAGGATGTGGCTGCTTCCCCCACCACCTTCCAGAGCCATGTTCTTTTTTTTTTTTTTTTTTGAGACGGAGTCTTGCTCTGTCGCCCAGGCTGGAGTGCAGTGGCCGGATCTCAGCTCACTGCAAGCTCCGCCTCCCAGGTTCACGCCATTCTCCTGCCTCAGCCTCCCAAGTAGCTGGGAGTACAGGCGCCCGCCACCTCGCCCGGCTAGTTTTTTGTATTTTTTTAGTAGAGACGGGGTTTCACCGTGTTAGCCAGGATGGTCTCGATCTCCCGACCTCGTGATCCGCCCGTCTCGGCCTCCCAAAGTGCTGGGATTACAGGCGTGAGCCACCGCGCCCGGCCCAGAGCCATGTTCTAACTGCTCCCTGCCAGGCGGTCCCCAGCCTCCCCGTAGCTCAGCTTACATGCAGGTGAGTCTTGGGGAGGAAGTCAGACTTGGTGACACTCTGGCCTGGGAGGAGGGCCTGGAAAGAGGCCCACAGAGGATGTCAGCTCCCCAGAGGCAGGCTGGGCCCCTGGCGGCTCCCACCCACTCTGCCTCCAGGCCCCTGCTGTGCTGAACACAGAGGAGAACTCAGCTCAAATGGGCATCACTGAGAAAAGGGAAGTGTTTGGGGAGAAGACAGGGGAAGGCATGACCCTGAATGGGACCAGCAGGCCAGGGCTCTTGTCTGAACTCTGAATGACCTTGGCTACACCTCTTCATCTCTTTGGACCTCAGTCTTCTCATCTATAAAACGGGGGAACTGGACCAAAGCAGTGGGTTTCACCTAAGCTCTTTCATCTTGTGCTTGAACAAAGGGCTCTGCAGCTCACATTCTTTAGGAAAGCTAGGAACCCTCAGACTGGAGGGTGTCAAGCCCCCTAAAGTTCTAGCAGGAGCCCAGCCGACTTACAGGGTCCCCAGGGAGGGCCTGTGAGGGTGGTTGGAAGACAATGGGGCTCTGGCGGGACTGTTTGGTGAAGCTGCTCCCCTCCTTGGCGCCGATCGAGTTCTTCTGCAAGAAATCTACAAAAGAAATGTCGCATGTGCTGCCAGGCCACCTCCAGAGGCTCAGTGTCCCAGCAGGTGCGGAGTGAGTGGATCCCAAGATCCTGGAGACCTGTGCCATGAGGATCGTGGGTGGCAGGGTGAGGATTCCAGAGTCCAGGCCAGAGGACAGAAGAGGGAGCAGCAGGAAGGGCATGCACCAGCCAAGCCGCCCTCCTGAGAGGCCCAAGGCACCGAGGTCAGCCTGGGAGAGGTGCTTCCCCGCAGCCACCTGTGCATCCTTCTTTCTTCCACTGGTGCCTTCTTAGTCCTAAGCCAGCTCCAGGGCCCCTGGGGCAGGAAGTAGGGAGGTGGATTGGAAGGGCCTACCTGGCTGGTCTAGAGGCTCCCTGAGATACTTGGAATTGTACTCCGAAGTCATGAAGCGTGGGCCCTGGAACACAGAGGTTGGAAGAATTGGCGGGCCCACCAGGGCCCCGAAGGCATGCGGTGGCAGTGGAGTGGCGCCTCGGTTATCTGTGCTCTGAGGAGGCCTGTGTGGGCCACTACAGCACCCTGGACACAAGTCTTTCTGGGGTGGGGCATCGCAGGGCCAGAAATTTCAGCGTAAGAGCACAGTGCCCCTGTGACTATGAATACCACGTCACACCCCACACCAGACTCCTGGTAATGAGCGGGGGGCACAGAGAGACCGAGATCAGGAGGGGCCGTGAGCGGAGAGGAGGAGCCTGGGGGAGAGGATGAGGCGGTAAAGGGAGAAGTCATATTGAGGCTTATTTGGAAATAGCCAATATCAAATCCTTGTTCTCCCGCGTCTTCTTGGCGCCCTGAGCTCACACCTGGCTTGGGCTTCTTTGGATGAGTCGGCTGCCAACACTATTTCTTGGTGGGAGGGAGGAGGCGGATGTGGGCCCTCTGCCCACCCGGAAGACCTTAGCCGGGCTGCCACTCACTATCGGAAAGTTCTCTCGCTCCAGCGGGCCTGGCCTGCTGCTGGGTGGAGCAGGGCTTCCTGGGCTCAGCCCCGTGATGCGGGGGGCCCATGCCCTGGGTGCCAAAATGGGACGTCGGACGGGAGAAGACAGGGCCAATAGAGGTGATGGGGCGGGCAGTCAATTGCCTGACTCTGTCTGCCCTTGACCTTTACAGAGTACCAGTATCTGCAAGAAGCCAGAGGGGGGGTCCTTCACCAATGACCTGTGTTCCTCCCTCTGGCTTTAAGCTCTGCAGCCTATCCTACACGCTCACAGGAATTCACGTCCTGCCTGGTGGCCAACAAGGACCTGAGTGCCGCGCCTTGCTCTAGCTGATCGTCTCCTTCTGTGCCCACTCGGGGCTTTGCACTTCGTGCTGGACACTGCCTGGGCACTCCCTCCTAGACAGCTGCTCTGGAGGAGGCTGGCCTCCTCAGTCTTGCCCAGGTGGTCTCCATAGCAAGCTCTTTTCCGCCCTCCTGATTTGCAGGAACCCCTTCACGTCTGACTTTAGCTTTTTTTTTTTGGAGACAGAGTTTGCATGTGGCCCAGCGCTGGGGCAGTGGCGTGATCTCAGCTTCCCTGCAACCTTCCACCTCGGGTTCAGTCACTTTGTGCCTCAGCCTTCCCAAGTAGCGGGCGACTACAGAACAGCACACTCAGTGGATTTTGTGAATTTTTTGGAGGTATGGTTCGGGAGCTGGCCACCAGCAGTTGCCTCAAGTGATCACACCGAATTGGGTCTGCTCAAAGTGTGGGATTACAGGTGTGAGCACTGGTCCTGGCTTTTTTTTTTTTTTTTTGGAGACAAGTTCATTCCATTTGCAGGCATCTCAGCATCACTGAACTCGCTCCGAGTTTCAAGCGTTCTCCTCCTCCAGTCTCCAAGTAGCTGGATACAGGTGCATGCCCCCCCCCCAAAACAAACGACTCCCAGGAATTTTGTATTTAGTAGAATGGGGTTCTCCATGTTGGCCAGGACTGGTCAGAACTCCTGACCTCAATGATCTGCCCACTCGAGCATCATGCCGGGCCTGCATCTTCAACTTTCTTCCTCCTGCTTCTCCCCATTATATTTCTACCAACCATCCTCACCCGCCACTCTCCAGCTCTTATCATTATTCAAATGAAGGAGATATCAGCATACTGGCGGGGTATGAAGAATGAGTGGTCCACTGGCGGTGTGGGTGTGATGAAGAGGTATAATGGAAGAATGAAAAAAAGATGGGGCAGTCGGCGATGCTCTGCCTGTAATCCAGCACTTGGGAGGTGCTGAGCGCGCGGCGGATCACCAAGATCAGGAGATCGAGAACTATCCCTGCTAACACGGTGAAACCCTGTCTCTACTAAAAATACAAAAAATGAGCTGGGTGCGGTGGCACATGCTCTGTAATCCCAGTTACTGGGGAGGCTGGGCAGGAGAATCACTTGAACCCAGGAGGCAAGAAGGTGTGCAAGTTGAGCCGGAGATCGCTGCCACTGCACTCCAGCCCTGGCAACAGAGCAAGACTTCCATCTCACAAAAAAGAAAGGAAAAAGATGGGGTGAGGATGTCAATGGTAGGGGACAGTGGTGGTGGTAGGGATGGTGATGGGGCTTGCAGGTGTGGAAGGAAGTGTGAGGCTCATGGGAATGGGACAGCGATGGGGATGGAAATGGAGGCGGAGGTAATGGTGGGGCTGGGGCAGGGAATGGAGGTGGTGGGGATGGTGGGGACAAGGATGAGGACAAAGGGGAGAAAGATGAGTGGCCCCCATCCCTACAATGTGGCTGCTCCATGCCCTGTCACCCCCACCTTGACCAACTGTTGGCAGTGCAGCCCTAGCCCCACCCTACCCTAAGGCTTCCCTCTCCTAGCCCTGGCCCAGCACTGACCTCCTTGGTGGGGAGACCTGCACTGGGCTTCTCCCGCCCGTAGCCTGAGCTGGTCTGGTGCATGCTCCAGGGCAGGGGATGCTTGCCGTCAGGCACCTCCAGGGGGCGGTAGCTCTGGCTGGCCACAGACTGGAAATGGTCCGGGGCTTGTTCCCTGAGGGTGAGGAGGAGCTAGAACCCCAGGCCGCCTGCCTCTGTCCTCTGCTCAGGAGCTACCTTCCTCCCTGCACCCTCCCACAGATGGCTCAGGGGTCGGCCGTGCCCTGTGTCACCCAGGACCCCCAGCCTAGGCCAGGCAAAGCTCAGGGTCCCCATTCACGGAGCCTGGAGTTGGTCTGATGATCAGGGCAGGGGCTGGGAAGGAGCCGTACAGACCGTACCCCCTGGCCGGGTTGTCTAAGGCCTCCAGACTGGCTTGGCATGAGACCACGGGCCGGAAATTTGATTTGTAGCCGGTGCCTGTGTGACTGCCCACACGGGGCTTGAAATCCTCTCGACCTGCCAGAGGGGCAACGAGGAGACAGACCCCAAGGTCAAAAACAGGCAGGGCTTCCCAGGCAGGGCCAGCGTCCTCCGAGGGGCACACGGGTCCCAGTGACAGGAGAGGGCTCAGAGCCACGGGCAAGAGCTTTGCAAGCCTGCCCTTTCAGGACTGTGATGGCAGGAAATGGAGTGGGTGGGCTGGGGACAAGGTCAGTGTGGCAGAATCACAGTGACAGGATTGCATGGACAGAACTGGAGAAGGGAGCAGCCAGGCCGGGCTCAGGGGACAGACGGATTCAGCGTGACAGGTTGCTCTGCAGTGTGACAGCCAGAGGGGCTGCTCCTCCCTCAGAGAGAGCCCCTCCCTTCCCGCCAATGTCCTGGGGGAAGCTGCTGCGCAAAGGTGCCCTCACCGTAGGCTGTGCAGTAGCTGGTGGCGTAGAATTTCAGGGGGTCCGTGTAGCCCCCTGAACTCATCTTCACATAAGGGGAGACGACCCCCAGGGGAAGTTTCCCCATCATGATGCTGTGGGGCAGGGCCCCAGGGGGCCTAAAAAGGAAGCACGGGGAGCCTCGTGGGTCCCAAGCCCAGCTTAGAAGCCCACGGGGCGAAGATCTGCGCCCCCACACAGCCGGCCCCTTCTCCCAGGCCTCTGTCTCTCTGCCCCAGCTCCCATGTCCCTAAACTGAGGGCGAAACTGATCATCCATACTTATCCCAAGAGTCCTCGTGTCTCCTCTCACTTTCCCACACCTTCTTATTAACTCTTCCTGTCTCCATTTACTGCGGGGACAGTGAAGTTTAAAGAGATAAAGGATTTGCTCATAATAGGTGGTAGTGCCGGGATTCAGACCTAGATATTTGACTCCTCGGCCCCCGACCTGAACCTTACATATCCACCTCTCGGAATGAATGAGCCGACAACCCGCTATCTGGGGAATTCTTGGCTCCCACTCAAGAAGTCAGGCTGGGACGCTCACTCCCAGCTCCCGGCTCCTCTCTCTCCCTCAGCTCCCATGGCCTTGCCTGCCTCTGGCCTTGCCTGCCTCCCCTGGGAGTTGGCTCCGCTCTCCCCAAGGCCCAACCGCAGCAGCCCCACCCTCACCTTTCCTCTGCAGAGGCTCTGAGGTCAGGGAGAGGCTGCAGGAGGCAGAGCTCTGCAGAGAAGCCAGCCCTCCTGGAGGTGGCCAAGCAGGAGAAACAATGTGTAGCCTAGCAACTGGTGCCTAGCAACAGCGTCCCCAGGCCTCCGAGCCCTTCTAGGGCCAGGGCCCACTGAGGGACTGACCTGGCCAGGAGGGGAGGGTCAGGAGCTGCCCCAGCAAGGCCCTGCCTCCAGGGCTCCAGCCCCCACCTCTGGCCTCCTCCACAGGGCTGGGAAGAGTTGCTGTCTGCATGACATAAAATAAAAGATAATCCCGAACACTCATTCCCATAAAGTACCCACTTCTCGGCAGATACTTTACATCCTCTATCTCTGTCCTCTGAGCAGCTCTTCAGTAGCTATGATTATCCCCATTTTCACTGGGGGAACATGAGGCTTAGAAAAGCAAAGTGACTTGACTCCAGAGATCTCGCAATCAGAAAATAGCCAAGTTGAGATTCAAACGTGGGTGGATCTGGATCCCGCTCTTCTGCCTCGCGGTAAATCAATGTTTACTACGTTCCGCTGGAGCCACATCTGTGCTAAGCCCTTTAACACACATGACGTTGTGTACTCCCCCAAACCACCCTCTGAACTGGGCACTATTATTGTAGGGCCAATAAACTGCAGCAGTTAAGAGTGCGGTTCGAATCCGATCTGTCACCTCTGATGAGGTACTTATCCTCTTCACGCCCCCATATCCCCATCTTCACAAGAGATGTGACTGCACCCACCTCACAGGGCTGCTGGCAGATTTAGCAAGAGCATGGATTCAGCACCTGGCAGGTAGTAAATGCTCATTTTTTTCTTTTTTAAGAGAGACAGGATCTTATACTGTCACCTGGGTTGGAGTGCAGAGGCACCATCATAGCTCAGTCCAGCCTCCAACTCCTAAGCGCAAGCAATCCTCTTGCCTCAGACGCTCAAGTAGCCGGAACTACAGGTGTGTGTTCCCCCATGCCTGACTTGCTTATTTATTTATTTATTTATTTATTTATTTGTTGTAGAGACAGCATCTTGCTATGTTGCTCAGGATGGTCTTGAACTCCTGGCCTCAAGTGATCCTCCTGCCTCAGCCTCCTGAGTTGCCAGGATTACAGGAACAAGCCACCACACTCGGCAAATGCTCAGTTTGTAAAAACTGCTGTACTTTCAGCCTTATTTTGCAGATAGGAAAGGTGAGACTCAAGGGCAAGCAGCCCAGGCCCCACCGTGGGTGGAGATGGAGCCTGGACTCAAATCTGAGTGCGCAAACTCCACAGTGACAAGCTTCTTCCGTGACAGCCTGTTTGCCTCAAATTGGCTTTCGGGCTTGTAAATGGTGTAACAGTTGGATCTCTGGGTGGGGTGGGATAGCCCTACTTTGTAGCATTTGCCAATTTCTGTGATGTCAATAGTCCCATCAGGGCTGCTTTCAAACCACCACTACAATTGTCTTTGAACTGGGACGTGGGGAGGCCGTTCAGCACTGTACAGGAGTAGTTCTATCATGCAGACATAATGGGCATAAGTAACCTCGACAGCACTCACATAATTAAGGGGTGATGAATTTTAGGTATGTAGTTTTGGTTTATTAATATAACTCATTAAATTGCAGGTTTAAGTTATTTATTTATTTATTCATTTATTTGAGATGGAGTCTTGCTCTGTCTCCCAGGCTGGAGTGCAGTGGCGCGATCTCAGCTCACTGCAACCTCCATCTCCCAGTTCAAGCAATTCTCCTGCCTCAGCCTCCTGAGTAGCTGCGATTACAGGCGCCCGCCACCACGCCCAGCTAATTTTTGTATTTTTAGTAGAGATGTGGTTTCACTATGTTGGCCAGGTTCGTCTCGACCTCCTAAGCTCAAGTGATCTGCCTGCCTCAGCCTCCCAAAGTGCTGGGATTACAGGCATGAGCCACAGCGCTCAGCCAGTAATTTAATTTTTAACAATGGCAGAGTTAAAAACCAGCTCGCTGATTTCCTGGAATTTTTGCCTTCAGCTCTCCTGGAAGCCGGTGGAGCTGGCTCCAGAGCACCCCTGCTCTCAGGGGAGAGTGAGGGATGAACGAAGGCTGAATAAAGGGAAAGGAGGCATCTCCTTTCCTCACCCAGGAGATGCCCTTGCTGCATTCATCCTGTAGCGACCTGGTCTGCCAGGGTGGAGGTTCGCTCATGTCCTCACCCACCCCCCATGGGAAGGCAAGCTGAAGCACGTTTGGCACCTACCCTCCAGACTAACGATTCTGTTCAGGGATCACAGGGGGCAAGGACACAGGAGTGAGTGCACACAGCCCTGCCATCCGGCAAGCTGCTCCCAGTCTACTACAGAGGCTCATGTGAGCTCCACACATGAAGCACAAAGGGTGAGACCACCACAGGTGAGGTGCTCACAGGGTGAAGGGAGAGAGGGGCCCTCCTCTAAGTGTGCCTGGAGAAGTGGCTACGAGCAAGAGCTTGGACTCTGAAGCCAGATAGTGTGGGTCCTGTCTCTGCCACTAGATAACTGCAAGACAGTGCATGGTCCTTGTGCCTCCGTTTCCCCTTCTGGAGAATGAGTATAATAATGCTAACTACCTGCAGGGTTGTGGCACGCACGAAGCATTTAGCCCAGTACCTGGCACACGGTAGGTGCCATCTAAGAGTTAGGGAAAGGCCCTGGAGAGAGGTGCCTTCTGAGTACTCACTGCCTTCTAGGCAAAGGGTTGGGCCGAAGGGTTATAAACAGGAAATCCACATGGCCCTGGCCTCAGAGAGCCCACAGTTTAGGAAGGATCTCAGATGTAGCAAAAGAAAGCTCACTGTGGGAGCCCGAGTTCAAAACCTGCTTTTGCTGTGTGTGACTTGGGGCTTCCTCTCTTCGAGCCTGTTTCTGTACCTGTAGGCAGGGGTAACCGTGTCTACCTAGCAGGGTCGCTGGTGGATTTGAAATACCCTATGCACAAGAGGTAACAGGCCTGCACCAGGCAGAGATAAGGAAGGGCCCTCTATGTGGAGGGCCCGACAACACAAAGGCGGACAGGTGTCCAGCAGACTGGGAGCCCTGACGGGTGCAGCGTGGCTGGAGCACTGCGTGGGGAGGAGGAGCTCAGCTGGGAGAAGCAGCCCCCAGGTAGGCTGGAGCCAGGTTTTCCTTTTAACAGGTGGAGGGGGCCAGGAGGGGTGGTAGAAAGGTTTGAAATCGTCCCTTAGGGCTTCTCTTCTCTTCTCTAGGCTGTAGCCGACCAAGGACCTGGGCAGGAGTTCCGGGGTCGTGGATCAAGGTCTGGCGGCGCTGTCCCATCAGAGCCTCCGTTATGTCCTGTCCTCCCGGCGGCCGGTGGGTTTTTTGCTGTGTGGCGACACCCAGCGGCCGTAACTCGGAACTGCAGGAGATGACGCAGATGCATCCCTAAGACTGGGGTGTGGGGGCGGGGTCCTAGGGGTTGGGGACAGAGCAGCTCCGTCGACCGGTCACAGCCCCACCCCAAGCCTCACTCACCCATCCCTCCAGAACAGAAGGGTTGGGTCTGGGCAAGGAGTGTCCCGGGAGGGCAAGCGCTGGAGCCCGCAGGGAGCAGGAGCCCAGGGGCCCCTCCCCTGGTTGCAGGTGCCAGGTGGCCCAAGAGCAGTGTTACTTTTGGACCTGTCACCTGTGGACCTCAGTCCTTCCATCTACAAAATGAAGGGACAGACTAAAAGTCCTTCCATATTGGAAAATCTAGGCCCACCTCATCCCGCTCCCTTCCATACCCGTCCCCATTTATTCAGCACTTCGTTGTGCCAGAGCTGAGCTATGAATCACCTCATCGCTTTTCACCCCCAGCCCTATGTGGGAACTACTGTAGTCGTGCCCATTTTACATGTGAGGAAGCTGCCTGAGGCCTTGCAGACAGGGAGCGGTGGAGCTGGCATCCAAACTCAGCTTTGAACCTGGAATCTATGCCCTGTCCTCTGGAACACACCAGCAAATTCTCCAGAAAGCGCCGGGACCTTAGCACTGGGTTTTTCCAAAGGGATGATTTTCCAAAGGGATGGACTGCCCTGGCCAGATGGGCAACTGCCTCCTACTTTCTGGCTCTGCCAGTCCTAGGCAGTAAGATTCCCGTTTCCGGCCGGGCACGGTGGCTCACACCTGTAATTCCAGCACTTGGGGAGGCCAAAGCAGGCAGCTCACCTGAGATCAGGAGTTCGAGACCAGCCTGGCCAACATGGTGAAACCCTGTCTCTACTAAATATACAAAAATTAGCAAGGCATGGTGGCAGGTGCCTGTAATCCCAGCTACTCAGGAGGCTAAGGCAGGGAGAACTCCTTGAACGTGGGAGTTAGAGGTTGCGGTGAGCCGAGATCGCGCCACTGCACTCCAGCCTGGGTGACAGAGCAAGTCTCCATTTCAAAAAAAAAAAAAAAAAAGATTCCCCAGTTTCCCTACCATAGGAAGGCAGAGGCTACGGATACACTAGGTTAGCAGAGAGGACCCAGTGAGACGGCATGCTGGGTCTCAGCCCATAGAGCTCCTTGGCTGGGATCAGTGGGGTAGGCCCTCACAGGCTTCCGAGGCCAGAGCACACCACCGCGGAATGCCGAGTCCTGAGCAGAGACAGCCATCTGCACTCTGTGCTGGGCCGTGTGGGCTGCAGTTCCCCAAAGGAGGATTAACTCAAGTGAATAAGCCACACACCACCAAGTACGTGTCATTTTGCTTCGGTTGACGTGGGTCTTTATGGCTGCCCTCAGAGGGAAGCCAGGGCTCTTGTAAGGAAGAGACAGGTTAGCATACTTCAGCTTAATGGATAGAAAAGCCTCCTAACACACTAAATAATCCAACAGGGGAACAGGCTGCCCTGGGGGGAGTGAGTTCCCCATCCCAGGAGGCATGCAAGCAGCTTGACAGGATGACAATAATAGCAAACTTTCACTGGTTTATTAGGTATCAGGGACTGTTTGTAAGCACTTCCCATGATTAGCACAATTAAAC